TGCTGTGCCTGCCACGAAATCTGCACATGGAGGTTCACAAAGTGCTGCACCTGCCACGAAATCTGCACATGGAGGTTCACAAAGTGCTGCGCCTGCCACGAAATCTGCACATGGAGGTCTAGTGTATGATGAGTGGTGTATGATGAGTGGTGTCTAATGAGTGGTGTATGATGAGTGGTGTATGATGAGTGGTGTCTAATGAGTGGTGTATGATGAGTAGTGTATGATGAGTGGTGTATGATGAGTGGTGTATGAACAGTGGTGTCTGATGAGTGGTGTATGATGAGTGGTGTACGATGAGTATGATGAGTGGTGTATTGATGAGTGGTGTAGGATGAGTGCTGTATGAACAGTTCTTGAATGTCCGTAACACGGAAGTTTCGTACACTAAACTTCCTTTGATAAGATGTAATAAGTTTTCCATATACATGGATGGTCTGGGGATGGAAAGGGTGTTCCAACCTGTGACACGTAATCAAGGAGCACTCTTCTCCCCATTCCTCAAACAAACAATCAACATACCAGCTTCTCTCTGGCTTTGTACGGGTTGCACTAATAATATATTGGGCTCTAAGTCCCGCTTTGTCTTGTAAGTGATCCAGTTGGCCGCTGTGGTTTGCTGTGTACGTGTATTACTCTTGCATTGTCATGGATACAGGTAGATAGATAAATAGATAATGATAGACTTACTTATAGACTGACGTACTGTATACTATGTTCAAATCTGTGCCTTCAACAGTCATACCCACACGTCTAATGTAGACTCTTGAGGACCATAAACCTCCCCTTTGAAGAGGATGTTCAATTCAAGTGGGGTGGTGTATGGTCCTCAAGAGTCTACATTATCTATGCCGTAGATGTCCACATGGACCCCCCTGGCACCACCACCCCACCCCACCCGCCGCTCTGACCAGCCAAGCGTCGGGCCTCGGCGCTTCCGAAGTCCCGCGCGCGGCGGCCGAACCTCGGCCCCACGGTGTCCCAAACAGGACCAGTGGGACGACCGGTGGGACTGCCGATGAGGCCAGGGGTCGTGTCAGGGGGGTCTTTGGCATAAGCATGGCATGACATGGAGTGTTTGGAATATTTTGGGATGGGTGGTGGGTACCCTGGCACCCGGGCGTTGGATGGCGTTGGCACCCTGGCGGGGTTTGTGTCGTTTAAAAGCCACGTCCGAAAAGGTTCGTCAGGGATTTCCACCGCTTTCGACCGCAGCTCCGAGTCAACAACAGCACCAAGACTTGCGACAACATATTCCCTATAGGGCTCCTGGCCCACCTCCTGAGAAGGTGGTTGGGGTGGGTGCCAGGCTTGGTCGAAGTACCTTCTGAGAATGTGGGCCCGGAAACATAGGGATTCATGTGTTCAATGAACTGTGCTGACTGGAAGACTGGGCTGTTGATTGCATCATAAGTAAGTGAAACAATATTAACATGGAGTTCCCTTGCTTTGTCAAGGTTCAATATTGTTCAATGGGGTCTGCTCATGTCTGCTGGGCGTTTTTCTTTGACATTCTTGGACCATTTCTATAGCCACCCGAACCTTCCAATCGTGTCACGGTTTCGCCTGTTACCTCCTTCAAGGCAAAACTGTTGTGTTGGAACATGCTGGTCGCACACACACACAAACACAAACATCGGTGCACAATGATCACAAAGCTGAAGCTGAGCCCAACAATTCACAACATTATGATCATTATGATAGTATATTATGGTTTTTGAGTGAAGCGAATGGAAAACCCCCAACCCTGTGCTTCTTTGGGCCAAGCCACAGTTCCAAGTGCCCTACACGGAGGAAGGATCTTGCCACTCGACAGGTCATCGCACACGGCTCGAAGAGGGTCTCGCCCACCCATTCTCGAAGGGCAGTATCTGAGGTTGACCTTGGGCACCATCTCCAACCTTCTTCGATCGCTCAGGAGCATCACAAACAAACCAATGTTTGATGATTTTCTGGACACTGGAGGTGGGTCGACCTTGCCCCAGCTGTGTCATTCTGGTCACATCCTCCCATCCTGACCCAGTCGCATGACCACGCACAGCGCCCGCGTGCTGGGCACCCCCAAGTGGTACATGGCCTCAGACGCCAAGAACTCCCGGAGCGAGGACCGCAGCACCGCACGGCCATCGGCACCGCCACAAAAGGGGGTGCAGCCGGCACCTGGAAACGTGGTCAGGGTGGTAAGAGGCGCGGTATTCGAGTAGAAACGCCTGTTTCGCGATGTCAACTTGAAAACATGTTGGGATTCATCACCGCTTCATCACCTCATGATATCCAATATATCTCAAGCATCCATTGAATATTGAGATTTGTTAGTCAATGTAACTCTATGCCACAGGTGCCTGTAGTTGCGCAACGGCGGCCGTGCAAAAGCCGTTTACAATTCGTTGACCAGCTGGGGTTCAACATCTGAGGACTCTTGTGATCGAGAATTGACAGGATCAAGCCTTCAAGCCCGCACCGATTTGGCAAACAGTGGCCGGACCCGGAAGCCTTTCAACTGGAGCTCCCACCGATCATCGTGCAGCAGGACTTCGCCAACAGAGATGGCGCGCCCATCTCCGTACCTCCGACAGGTGCCAGTGGCGACCCAGGGGTCCTGCAGTGGGACTCAGCCCTCTGCAAAACACACATAACATATATTATATAACTTCTAACAATGAATAACAATGAGCATTTCACGACGGGGAAAGTCTTGCCTTTTCGCAGGCGCGGCAAGGGAGTTCTGGATGACTATGGCAACAGCGCAGGTGCCCGAACCAAGTTTCTTAAACCAAGTTTCTTACAACTCGAAAACCCTTCCACGGACAGTCAAGGTCTGCCATGCTCCCTCTGCTTGCCCGCCCTGCAGGACCATACCCTTGACATCCCTTAGACGACATGGGCGAAGAAGACAGCTCGGCACATCCAACCAGCTCGGCGCTATTAGCTAGGCACCATAGGCAGGCCAGCAGCAATTCAGAAGCAAAGCCGCCCCTGCTTGACATATAAGACAATCTTGCTTTGGATATCTTTGATGATCTTTGGATGTTAGGCACTCAAACGCCGCACATCTGCATCATACTCAGCAAATCGCGGCATCTCAAACATTTTAACAGGCTGAAGGCTCCGAGCGGAACGATTTTGATTTTTTCTTGGTAGTTTTTTTTATACCACCTACGTAGCAGCCCTTCAGGTTCAGGAAGTGGGGATTGGAAGCGAAGTGTAGGTGGCTTGTACATATTTGGAGAAATCGGGTGAAATCATGTGAATCCAGGTTCTTGAGGTTTGATTGGAGGGAAAGCTGGTAGCTGGGCGATATTGGACCAGGAAAAGTGGATAGTAGTGGGATGAAGGCTTCAATGCGCTGTGCTCACGCGCTCAGCCCTGAAAGGGTTGAAAGCCAAGCCATAGAAACCTGGTTCCCCTTCTATGCAAGGCTGTCGGTAATTTTTGAACAACATGGACATCCTGCGACACGAACAAACTCACACCGAAATGCCCCAGCCAAATGTCCTGCAGGACCTTCCGTGATTCACCATCCAGGATCATCGACTGCATCCACTCTTCTCTGGGTGGACCTCTTCCTGGTCACATGGTGAACCCAGTTCCTGGAAGATGACAGGCCCGGTTCTCGAACCTACGAGGCCAGTCCTTCCAAGTGGATGGGTCATCTAGGTGTGAGCGACCTACGTTGACCGACGCCGCGCGGGCGCTCGCGCTGCGGTGTCGAGTCAGGACGTCATCGCTCAAGAGGGCCCCGAACGCATACGATCAGGTGGAGTGGTTGAAAAGGGGTCACTGTAGGCTGTAGGTGCATCTTCCATCATATTCCCATTTCAATGTTTCATACACAATGATTGATATTCCAATTCCACTGATTGGTAAATGTGTTCATCAGTTGAGTTGGTAAATATATGTAAATATTCTATATAATGATGTTCTTTCCAATTCCAATGACTGAGACCTATATATATGGTCCAACCCGAAAGCGTATGGGATTGAACATCGTTGACTGATGCTTTACTCTCCCAGGCCCGTCTGCCAAGGTGCATGTTCCCAGTACCTCACATCGGCTGCAACGGCATCGGCTGGCGAGCAAACCACGGGAGCTAGGCCAGCTAGGGGTGCTAGGACCACAACGCAAGCACACAAATATGCTCTCCCTGCAACTAAACAAACTGGACACCCTCCTGTGTAATGGAACAAAATGCTCCTCCTCTCAGGGCCATGCCACATATCACCATGTCCCAAACACGACTAATGGGACTGCCAGTCCGGACTGCCTTCAAAACGGCCAGAAATGGTGCCAAAGGGGTCTTTCTGGCGGCAGTCCGGACTGGCAGTCCCATGGGCCGTGTCTGGGTGTTACTTTGGAGTGCATCACATACCCCCCAAACACTCCAGCGGCTGCAGGGACTACTTGCACACCGACCGCATGGGCCCCGAACGGGCGACCGACATCGGACGACCGTGGGGGTGAAGCGCAAACGCACCAGGTTGGCCCGTTCGGGATCCACATACTCTCTGAGGTACGGTGATTGGAAACACTGTGATGTAGGTGCCAGGAGGGTCCAAGTGCCTTAAGGTACTTGGGATGAACATGAAACGATGTGCGCACAGCACGCATCACCTATGAGATGTTCCTCGATGATCGAGGCTCGATCTCACAAAATCACACTGATGATTCAAACCCGAGCACTTAAAGACATCCCAGCCACAGGTGAAATCCTCTGAAAGATGTAAAACATACACAAACTGCAAAGGCAAAGGTGGCTATAGGTCAGGTGACAGATGGTGCACTAAGGTGCGTTCGCCACCACTTGAACCCCCCATCACCCCCCATGAACCACTCAGTTTGGAGTGGGACCCAGACCGTGAAACCCCTGACCTACCCTGCTGGATGGGGATCTCCGATGAAACTCCGGATGTTCGGCAGCGCCCTGCAGCGTTGCAGCTGAGAAACTGATTTCATTGCCCGCCACTGAGAGGGTGTATGGAGTACACCAGCTCTTCATCTTGGGCAAAACTTCCACTTGCCCCGACATGAAGTGCAGGAACTCCTGCACAACAAGTCGCCAAAGGTAGTGAAGGGAAGAAAGGATGAGAGTCTCTGGTAGTGGTGAGGAACGGCCTGAGAACAGTTCGAATCTAGTCACCTAGTCGAAACCGTCTGCCCTTGCTTCTCAAGCATCCATCTCTTAATGTTGCATGCCAATCCTTCGTTGGGACCTATTTACCAATGCCACGGTTCATGTAGACTCTTGATTCATCACAGTTCATCACCCCCCTATGAGGACGTCCTCATGGTTTTTCCATCCGGGAGTCTGGGAGTCTGGGTTTATGAACCCAAGAGTTTTGGTCCAAGTACCGGTCACATGCCCCGTCACCGGTCGACTTTCGAACGGGTGATGTGGTCCACGACGTGTCCCCCCCCCAAACAAATGCGGCATATAGGCTGACCGAGGTAGCCAAAAGACAATCCGAGGTGGTTCATTTGAGGAGGTGCATGTCGAATTCTTTGGTGGCTTTTTCAAAAAAGGATCCCATCGGATCCCAAGGGTACGGCCGAAGGATCCCAAAGGTACGGCCGCCGCTGGCCATTGGTGGGGAAGGATCACGAAGGCCTAGGGCCAGGGAGGACTAGGGCTCGTCGTTGGTTCCCTTGAGCAAGGTGTTTCAACGGTGTTCACCGGTGTTTCATCTTTCACCGTTTCATCCGATTCATGGTGTGGCGGGGAAAGCGTGTCTTTTTTTATCCAGGTGACCTGGTGACCTGCAGTGACCTTCACTCCTGGGACTCGCAGTCCGAAGATTGAAGGCCCAGCACTTGGGCCATGGATGGGCTGAACGCCACCAGCGAGGTATTCCTCAGAGGTCTGACTAGGTCGCTGCGGTGGCTGAAGGCTCTTCTTTAGGGGGGAGGAACCTCATGTGCTCAGTACCAGGACCTGACTCAATGTAATACATACGTTGCGTCTATCCTATTACCTGTAACAGTGGATGATTATGGTCTGGCAGGCCTTGTTCAAACATTGTGATCATTGTTTACTGACTGTTAGAGGTAATGGGACAGACCCTCTATATATATATATACACAAAACTTACAGACCAACAAACAGCAACTCTTCTAAGAGGATGAACTTGGGATAAACTGGGAGCTGTTACGATCCCAACGGTGAAAAAAGTGGAAGGCGCCAAGGTTCATGGACAATGGACACTTGCCACGGTATATTCATACATGTTCCACTTCTTGAGGAAGGGGCAAACATCGAACAAACAAAAAAATACTTAAAACGGGAAAAGAGTTTGCATTATAGGTGAAGCATTCTCCACGACGTGCATGTTGGCTAGAGGGTACCCTCTCCCAATCTGTCTCATTTCATCACTTGGGGGAGGCACAACAAAAACACATGATCACACTATAGGAGTGTATCTGAAGATGGGAGGTTGACCCGGGTTCTTGTTGGGGTTGTCAAGAAGGTGTCTCTCCCATCCATCATGGAAGTGATTTAGCTGACAAAACGGCGCACTCTTGCATCGATTCTGACCCATCTTCCCAACGTCTTTCCGGTCATGGACCCTGGCCTTCGTGGCTGACACTGAGTCAGCTCCGCTGATGACTTGACCCAAGCCACAACAAGGGTGTGGGCTCCACTCGCACGAAGTGGCCTCCATTTCTCTCGGAACGACCGCGCGCGGGCGACATGGCGCGATGCACGCATGGAAGTGAAAGAGTGGGGAAAAACGAAGGCCTAAAGCTCCAGTCGTACCTTCTAACAAGGTGTTTGAGGTGGGTGCCAGGAGGGTCCAGTCATACCGAACCTGAGGAGCTACGACTGGAGCCCTAGGGGAAGAAAAAAGAAACAGGTGGTGGTTTGAGGGCAGGCTCCAAAAGGGTAAGACCGCCCAGTCAACGGCAGGACTTGACGTCCTAAAGGACTGGGTGACTGTCCTGCAGCGGAATCACATCCTCTGGCTCTGCAACTTGAGAGCACCAGGTTTACAGGGCAAGAGGGTGGATTATGGGCTAACATGCCACAACCATAGGTTGGAGGCCATCGCTCTTAGGTTGGAGGTCATCGCATTTGAGGGTGCAAAGCTTCTGGCTAGATGAAAAACATGTTTGCCGATGTGCACCGGTCACTCTCTTTGGACTGATGCAAATCCCTGCCCATCTGAGAATGCCAGCTTCCATCTCGGGGAACATATCAAAACCAAAGACATCGCCCAGGAAGGGATATTTTTTGAATTCACCGTTCGGTCACCCGGAAAGGAATTTCCTTTACTTCAGTGGTGCAAATGACTTCCAGGGTCCATGCATCACCATTGACTCCAGGGTCAGCGATAGAACGGACGTCAAACAGCAACACGCCTGAAGAAACCAAGCGCTTCTCGCGGTTGGGGCGATGCAGTTCCTGGACATGCACGGGTTTGTGGTGTTCAACCACGACCCCCCCGCGCTCAGCTAGCAAGCGGCTCAAAAAAGGACCTGGATCCAGCTCCTTGGCTCCTCATTCTCCAAACCGCCCAGCGATTCAGTTCGGATGAGTAGTGCAAAGCCCCATCAAATCTGCATGTCCTTTAAAGTGAGCTAGCCAACAAAGGGACTGGCATTCTAGGAGCTCTAGACTAGAATGCCAAGACTGGAAACTCAGTGTGTGGAGCTGGAGGAGTTCGAACATGTCCACCCATAGCTGTAGTCAACAGCTGGCGCCCAGCTTAGCGGAGGACTCCCCGGTACGCCGTCCCGACCGTCACAGTCTTCGGACGTCCCGACGTCCCGGAAGCTCGGCGAAGCTCGGGGGTGGCTGGGGGGAGAGGTCGAAAACAGGCTAAATTGCCTTCGGGTCATCTGACTTTTCGAGTCATAGAAACCATCGATTTCATGTGATCGAGAAACAATACGAACAAAAGAACAATGAAATGATGTGTTTGTCTTCGATATTTTCCAGCACAGCTGATATGTTTTTCAACTCATTGAATCCAGGTCCACGTCAGGGTGGTTGGTCCCTCCGTTTCTTCGGACCCCCAACATGAGACTCCTAGCCAATCAACTCATTCAATTCTTTCACCTCGTGTCCCCAACAGAATCTCCGCGCTCCAACCTGCTGCGGCTCTGCTTGCAAATCACCTAAGCGCTGAGATTCCCGTTTGGACAACAAGGTCCAAAGACCAAGGTTTGAGGTTTGCAGTTTATAGATGTTTATTGTCTATAGTCATCTATATAGTCCCTTAACCAACAGCCAAGAATGGGTGTGAGGCAATGTTGGACAGTTTTCGATCCATGTTTAGTTGGCTCATTTCAGGAGTGTCTTGGGGAAAACTCTGTGTCGCAGTGTGACACCCATGTCATGCGATGTTCAGTCAACCAGTACTGAGTGCAGGTCACATTCTCGTGGAAGGGAGCTTGCAGCTTCATATGGTTTATGATCAAGTTTGTTATATCATACTGGTCGACTTTTGAAAGCTTTGGCGGGGAACCTGGAAAAACGTTGACCAACTGAACATGGTCACCACTCCAAGGGCGCCAAGTGGCGTAGCCATGAGTGGTCTGCGCTGTTCCTGGGGAGTCGGGGAATCGGCAGGGCAGGGCAGCTTCGATCACCTCCTCCGGAACGTGCGAAGAAAACGTCGAACCACTGGAACTCTGTGCCGCCACCGAGCTGGTCATGTTTTTCTGAGGCTGCATTCAACAAGAAGAACTGCCAACTGGAAATGACCTTCCCTGAAACTCACCACTACAACCGAAGACTCTAATGCCCGGACCTACACTCTATCTACAAATGCCATTGTATGCCTACATTGAGCTCAGGTCAACCACTCCAGAATCGAACATCTTCCAGCCCCGTGAGTTGTGGGATATACACCCACCCATACACTCTCCCGAACGAGTCTCGAAAGGCGCTTGTTCTTTCGCCGACGATCCCGCGGACGAAGTCTGCCACGGTCTGCCCAGATTCATCCCAAACACCCGCATGGGACGGGCGTATTAGAACCGATCAGGCCAGGGGTGGTTGATTGATTGAAAAGGGGTCCAGGTATGGAGCATATGCCAGTCCCATTAGGAGTGTCTGGGCATAAAAAAAGCAAAACTATGCAAAACTATATTACTATATTGACAAGTGCTGGGGTGACTATACAGTCACCTGAAATCGCAAAAAGTCACCCGGCTGCCACATGCATGCTACAGTAGATAGCCACCACTAAAGCCGCCCAATATAGATGGTAGAATCTCTTCAGGCCTGAAGAGGTTGCACTCTCTATCTGTCTATCTATCTATCTATCTGTTACCCTTCCAAGGTTCGGGTGGTTTTGGGACACCCCCCTAACCATCCTTCACATCTTTACGAGGCTATTGAACTGGCCATGGTCACATCATCGTCACATCTCTCGGAAGGTCCTGGACTTCAGGAGTCAACCTTCAACACCACCCCTCCACCGAGCAGCTGTAGCCGTTCAAGGCCCTCCGGCAGCGCCCGTGTCCCTCGCGGCGTCCGGCGCCCGTGGGCGGCGAGAAGCGCCTCACAAAGGCGCTGACCGGTGGAGAGGAAGGAGCAACGGCATGCTGGTATATCCTGGTCTTGGTGGTTCCCTAGGGATCCAGTCGTACCTTCTCAAACAGGTACGACTGGACCCTCCCAACCTACATAACAATGTCTCCAATCACCTTCTGACAAGGTACTTGGATCCCTAGGGGTTGAGGCCTTAAGTGGAATTTGGTCAGAACCAAATTGGGGAGAAGCACATGAATAGCATTTTCTTGGAAGTGTCCTCACGTCTTTCCCACGCGAACTGTGGACCACTTTAGGTGATCTCCGAATTTTGGGGTTTGTGCCACAACTGCGTCTTGACAAAAGCAAGGGAGCAGTGGGAACGACCATGTCATAGCATCTTGGCATTCTTGGTGCCACTGGGGTTCCAACCTTCCTGGACACAAAACCAAACAACACACACCTCAAGATCCCTTAGCAATTGCCGTCCCGGCGCCAGAACGGCTACATCAGCACGTCCCCAGCGGCAGGAACCACGCGGCACGAACCGCGCCGGCACTACCACCGTTTCCGCGAACGGCACGCGGAAACGGACTGGCCATGTGGAACGGCATGGCGGCGAGGGTCTCATGCCATCGTCGAAGCGAACATGGTGGGACAACCACCGAGCTTTTTCTCTCTATAGAGTCTGGTCGAAGCTGAGCCCTCCCACTGGAAATGAAGAAATGAACAGGTCGTACCGGCTCAAGGTCGGAAGCTGTACAAGAATGAATCAATGGCAAAAGGCCTTTACAGTGGTTTCAAGAGTAAATGGCACAAGGGCCCACAAGTTTGGTGGTTTATATACACATCTTTGATCATCTTTGTGTTTGTGCCCACTGTGAAACCACTCTAATGGGATATGAATTGGCTGAAAACAGGACCTGGTGAGCCATGCATCTCTGTTTGCTTGGTGATAACACTTTTAGCACGCTGAGAATGTGCTGCGGGGTGCACCATTCTCGGACAGCTTCGAAAAGCAGCGCTTTGGTCATGTAATCAGCTGCCTGGCTGCTTGGGTAGGAAGAAAACACATGCAAAGACCACCCTTTCAAGGTGTTTGGCCTTCAATTTCTGCCACGGAGCTCCCGCTATGGCCCTACCCCCCAGCCAAAAGCACCAGATTCATTGAATGGCCGTTCAATGTTCTATCAGCTTTCTCAATTTGGCTTGAGAAAGCTCTTCAGTCCCTTGAGAAAGGGCCTGCACCTCCCTTGAGAAAGGACCAGCAACTTCCCTTGGTCTACACCATAGCTCTGGGTGCTTTGTTTCCTCCCATCTGCAAGGAGCATCTCGTGAGCCGCCCTGGTTCGATGAACGCTTGCTACATCTTGCTACCCCGTCTCTCGTTGCTCCGCTACAGAGAGGAGATCCGTCCAATGGGTGTCCAATTAGATACCCTACACTACTTATATAAGGCATTTCCATTGGTACATTAATAAGATTCTTAAGAGAATTGCTTTACAGTATATATTGGTTTATCCCCTGTCTTAAGACACACATTAAATTTCCAACAAAGACCCAGGTGCAAATGACACTTGTTTTCCATGTCAGGTTTGTTTTGGATAGCGCCCTGTGTGTGAGCAAACCTGGCCAACCCCAACATATTGCATGCATGTTTTTAAGATACAGATATATATATATATTATATATACACATTTATCATGGGGTGGTGCAATTGCTTTGTCTGTGCACACTGGCTCCTCGTCTTCGCACTTTTTCTGGTGCCATGATGCTTTGCAGCACTTCTCCTGGATAGGACCAGTTGCTGGACGAAATAGATGTTTGAGACACGGACCTTACAACAGGTGTTCCCTGGCAGATCCCCCTGGCAGGTGCCTGTTAGGGTCCCAAACCAGACTGAGCCAGACTGTAACACTGTTGGAGGGCTCTGGGGGGGTAAGTAACCAAGTATGCGATAGCCATACTTGATTGAGGGACCCTTGCATCTGCAAGAATGATCGTGGAGAGTGAACACATCAAGATCATGTCCAAACCCACCCCCACACACACAAATTACAACTAATTAAGCTACAAGTGTTTCTTCTAGCATTTGCAAACGCTAAAGCCTATGGGTTGCGATGGTCTTCAAAGATTTTCGGAGTGTCAGTCACATCTCAACAGCACCTCAACATCCCGCCAGACCACTGGCATGCCGGGCCCGTCCTATGTACACAAAGAAACGGCCGGAGCGACAGGTTGTGTGCCATGTCAGAGGCGTCTGGACCTGGTCCAGTATCCAAAGTGTGGGCAAGTGACTAGGCTGCGCCTTGAAACGTTGCAACATTTGGCTCATCAGATTCAACATGATCTGTCTGTTTGCTCCTACATACTGCATTTGCATCAGGTTCAATATTGTACCTCAGATGATCGGGTGTTTTTCTCTCCGCTCTGCTGCGCGCATCTGCGCGAACCATGAGCGTCCCGTCTTGTGATGTCTTGTGGGTGGGCTCTCACATCTGCCTCTGTCATTCGACTTGGATTTGCTTCTGATCGGCATATGTATATATATATACACCCATCCCATGGAGAATTTGGGGCTTGTAACACATGTCCCAGGTTCGGATTCTCGAAACCGGGGACATCCAACCCCATCACCACTCCAATCCGCCCGTTCAACAACATGCCTACCACCGCCCGCCCGACCGAGACTCAAACGGAGACAAAGGGAAACCTCTGTGGACCTGGTCGTGGCCCGGTCCTAAGCCACGACCCAAAGGGTCTCGCCTCATCTCCCCATCTCTCCGAAAGGGTCTCTCCTCCACCCACTCTGCCTGCGCCCGTGGGACCTTCCACTCCGCCCTTCTTCGAGGTCGCCCACGTCCGCCTGGCGCCCGGTGGAACGGACTTGGAGTCTCTGTGAGAGGATCATGACACGTGGTCATTGTATCTGTCACAACTAAAATGGTTTCAACTACTTCATACTGTATCACAACACTTTATCTGTTTCAACCACTAATGGTCATTGTATCTGTTTCAATCTCTGGACACAAGACTTTATACTACGACGAATCCCGAGCGGGGCAAATGTTCACCAATCCCTGGCGGTTCTCGTCTCATCGTGCTCTGAAATTCAGGGCATTGATCCAAATGTGGGTCACTGAGTCCGGGATGGTCACGTTTACCAAAGACTTGCAGTTCTCAAAGGCACGATATTCAATGCGGGTCACTGAATTTGGGATGGTCAACTGTGCCAAAGAGATACAGTTCTCAAAGGCAACCATGCC